GAGTTGCCGCCATGTGATTGGCTGATTAGAAATTAAGTGTTAACGAGCAGTTGGACAGGTGTACCTAATAAAGTGGCCGGTGAGTGTATTTCGTATTATACTTGCATGAATACGGTATAATAAATCAGCAGAAACAGTTTTATTTAACTGGTGAATTTTTGCTGCTGGATTTAAAAAGTCCTAACCAGTGAGGAGGCGGCTGCGGCGAGAGGCCTCTGCAGCAAGGGCACACGACATTTCAATCCACTTCTCCTGCTCCTGCAGCTGGTGCTGGGAGGTAGCTGAAGGTCCACCCTCCACTGGACCACCAGAAGCAGGAACCAGGTTCTGCAAACTGAGAGGGAGCACACAAAGAGTTAGGAACTGCTTATATTTACAGAACTTCTAATAAGACTCTTCCCAGGTTAGGTCTGGGGTGAAAAAAGACACATTTAGTTGAAGAAAGTTTTAAAATAGTCTGTACCATTCACAGTACAGTTCCAGACCCATGGGCGTAACCGCCATAGGTATGGAGTGGGGCATGTCCCCCCCCCACTTCCAATATCTGTGCCCTCTGTCCCCCCAACTTTTTTCAGCCGAAGCAGAAAAAAATGACCTTTAAAAAAATGTGTCGCCCCCACATTTAAGATGGTGATTACACCCTTACTTTGATTTAGCAATGAGGGTCTTGATGCGATCAAGCTTCTTCTGCTTCTCTTTCTGCTCCTCTGGGCTCAGAGGGATGTTGTCCTCCAAATCCAGGAAGTTTTCTGGGATCCCATCCTTGTTGGGGGCCATCAGCTAAAACAACCCAGAGAGATGAGTTGGTTGAAGGATACTGCACGATACTGCTCAGCAGGCCTGGTTCTACCTCCTTTAGCTTTCCACTGGAGCAGAGTTTAAGGTTTGTATCAACCAGAAATGTTGACCTACAGTATACTGTAAAGCAGGTTCAGCTCGTCAACTCCAACTGACCCTAACAATGACCAAAGGTTTGTAACTCAGGGTTGTTTTACTGTATAAACCACTGGCGTCATTATTGTTCCAGATTTCTTTACAAACAGTCATCAAAAAAAAAAAATGGATCAGCTTAATAACAGTTCTGTGGATGTTTGCAATCAGTTTAGGATCTAAACAAACCTCTCTGCTGACGTCACTGTGGTCTGGATCCAGCTGTAAACGTCGGAGCCGAGCGATTTCCTCTGATGGAGACTCCTGCCCTTCCCCCCGAACCGCTGCCTCTAAGTCTTTGATGTCAATTTCATGAGCTGTCAGCCGCCTACGGACCTGACACACACACACACACACACACACACACACACACACACACACACACACACACACACACACACACACA